CCAAGGAAGAAACTCACGCCCATCATGAAACCCCACGTCAAAGCTCAAACCCCACGCCCTAGGAAGAATCCCACGCCCATCATGAATTCCCACGCCCTAGGAGAAAGTCCACGCCTACTATATCAACCCTACGCCCAAAACTCAAACCCCACGCCTACTGTATCAACCCCACGCCCAATGAAGAACCCCACGCCCTAGAAAGAGACCCCACGCCCAATGAAGAAACACCATGCCCATGGTCAAACCCCACGCCCAAGATGAAACCCCACGCCCTAGGAGAAACCCTACGCTGAAGCTCAAACCCCATGCCCAAGGAAGAACCCCACGCCCATCATGAAACCCCACGCCTACTGTATCAACCCAACGCCCAAAACTCAAACCCCACGCCTACTGTATCAACCCCACGCCCAATGAAGAACCCCACGCCCTATAAAGAAACCCCACGCCTAATGAAGAAACCCCACGCCCAAGGTCAAACCCCACGCCCAAGATGAAACCCCACGCCCTAGGAGAAACAACACACCGAAGCTCAAACCCCACGCCCAAGGAAGAACCCCACACCCATCATGAAACCCCAAGCCTAATGTATCAACCCTACGCCCAAAACTCAAACCCCACGTCGAAGCTCACCCCACGCCATAGGAAGAAACCCCACGCCCAAGGAAGAACCCCACGCCCATCATGAAACCCCACGCCCTAGGAGAAACCCTACGCCTACTGTATCAAACCTACGCCCAAAACTCAAACCCCACGCCTACTGTATCAACCCCACACCCTAGAAAGAAACCCCACGCCCAATGAAGAAACTCCAAGCCCAAGGTCAAACCCCAAGCCCAAGCTCAAACCCCACGCTAAAGATGAAACCCCATGCCCAAACTCCAACCCCACGCCTAATCTCATACCCCATGCCCTAGGAGGAAACCCCACGCCGTTACTCAAACCCCAAGCCTAAAGAAAGGACCCCACGCCCAAGGAAGAACCCCACGCCTAAGAGGGACCCCATGCCTAAATTCTAACCCCACGCACAAGGAATAACCCCACGCCCATCCTGATACCCCACGCCTAATGTATCAACCCTACGCCCATCCTGAAACCCTACGCCTAAGCTCAAAACCCACGCTTAAAGAGGGACCCCACTGAGTTAATGAAATCCGTGGAAGTTGTGAATGGTAAATTAGCCGTTTAAAGGCACATTGGATGGTTCCACCAACTCAATTGGACTCCCAGAGGATATTAGGGACCATGATAAACATTTCTGCAATTTTTATTTCCGGAAGAAAAAAATTCAAAAAAATTCCAAAATTGAAGACTAATATCCATGCTTTTTGTGAAATTTTAGAGGTTTCGGGTCTCGGTGTCGAAAAGTCTTGTCTAGGGGATACATTTCGGGGTAATATAATGTCGTTTGGAACTATATATGATCATTAATTGTTGTAATAAATTTTCGTGGTAGGCTTGAGTTAATGAAATCGGTGCAAGTTGCAAACCGTTAAATTGGTCGTTTAAAGGCAAATTGGATGGTTCCACCAACCCAATTGGACTCCCGGAGGATATGAGGGACCATGGTAAACATTTTTGCAATTTTATTTCCGGGCGAAAAAAAGTCAAAAAATTCCAAAATCGAAGACATTAATCCACGCTTTTTGAGAAATTTCGGAGGTTTCGAGGCCCGGTGTCAAAAAGTCTTGAAATTATATGGGATACATCTCGGGGTCATATAATGCCGTTTGGAACCATATATGATCATTATATGTTGTCATAAATGTTCGTTGTATACTTGAGTTAATGAAATCCGTGCAAGTTGTAAACCGGTAAATTGGCCGTTTAAAGGAAAATTGGATGGTTCCACCAACCCAATTAGACTCCCATAGGATATTAGAAACAATGGTAACCATGTCGGCAATTTTTATTTCCGGATGAAAAAAAGTCAAAAAATTCCAAAATTGAAGACTAATATCAACGCTTTTTGCGAAATTTTGGAGGTTTCGAGGCCCGGTGTCGAAAAGTCTTGAAATTCTAGGGGATACATATCGGGGTCATATAATGCCATTTGGAACCATATATGATCATTATTTCTTGTCATAAATTTTTGTGGTAGGCTTGATCGAGTTAATGAAATCGGGGCAAGTTGTAAACCGGTAAATTGGTCGTTTAAAAGAAAATTGGTTGGTTCCATCCACCCAATTGGACTCTCAGAGGGTATTAGGGACCATGATAAACATTTGGAAATTTTTATTTTCAAGCAAAAAAAAGTCAAAAAAATTCAAAAATTGAAGGCTAATTTCCATCTTTTTGAGAAATTTTAGAGTGTTCGGAGCCTAGTGTCAAAAAGTCTTGAAATTTTAGGGAATACATCTCGGGGTCATATAATGTCGTTTGGAACCATATATAATCTTTATTGGTTGTCATAAATGTTCGTTGTGTACTTGAGTTAATGAAATCCGTGCAAGTTGTAAACCGGTAAATTGGCCGTTTAAAGGAAAATTGGATGGTTCCACCAACCCAATTAGACTCCCATAGGATATTAGAAACAATGGTAACCATGTCGGCAATTTTTATTTCCGGATGAAAAAAAGTCAAAAAATTCCAAAATTGAAGACTAATATCCACGCTTTTTGCGAAATTTTGGAGGTTTCGAGGCCCGGTGTCGAAAAGTCTTGAAATTCTAGGGGATACATATCGGGGTCATATAGTGCCATTTGGAACCATATATGATCATTATTTCTTGTCATAAATTTTTGTGGTAGGCTTGATCGAGTTAATGAAATCGGTGCAAGTTGTAAACCGGTAAATTGGTCGTTTAAAAGAAAATTGGTTGGTTCCATCCACCCAATTGGACTCTCAGAGGGTATTAGGGACCATGATAAACGTTTGGCAATTTTTATTTTCAAGCAAAAAAAAGTCAAAAAAAATTCAAAAATTGAAGGCTAATTTCCATCTTTTTGAGAAATTATTGGTTGTCATAAATGTTCGTGGTAGGCTTGAGTTAATGAACTTAGTGCAAGTTGTAAACCGGTAAATTGGTCGTTTAAAGGCAAATTAGATGGTTCCATCCACCGAATTGGACTCCTGGAGAGTATTAGGGACCATGGTAAAAATTTCGGCAATTTTTATTTCCCGACAAAAAAAAGTCAAAAAATTCTTAAATTGAAGGCTAATATTCACTTTTTTGAGAAATTTCGAAGGTCTCGAGGCTCGGTGTAGAAAAATCTTGATATTTTAGGGGATACATATCTGGGTCATATAATGATGTTTGGAACCATATATGATCATAATATGTTTTCATAAATGTTCGTAGTAGGCTTGAGTTAATGAAATCTATGCAAGTTGTAAACCGGTAAATTGGCCGTTTAAAGGCAAATTGGATGGTTCCACCAACCCAATTGGACGCCAGGAGGGTATTCGGGAACATAGTAAACATTTTGGAAATTTTTATTTCCGGGGGAAAATAAGTCAAAAAATTCCAAAATTAAAGGCTAATTTCCACGCTTTTTGAGTAATTTTTGAGGTTTTGGGGGCCCGGTGTCGAAAAGGCTTAAGATTTTAGGGGATACATCTCGGGGTCAAATATGTTGTTTAGAAATACATATGATCATTTTTTGTTATCATAAATGTTCGTGGTAGGCTTGAGTTAATGAAATCGATGCAAGTTGTAAAACGGTAAATTGGTCGTTTAAAGGCAAATTGGATGGTCCACTCACCCAATTAGACTCTCGGAGGGTATTAGAGACCGTGGTAAACATTCAGCAATTTTTATTTCCTGGCGAAAAAAGTAAAAAAAAATCATAAATTGATGGCTATATCCACTCTTTTTGAGAATTTTTGGAGTTTTCAGGGCTCGGTGTCAAAAAGTTTTGAAATTCTAAGGAATACATCTCGGGGTCATATAGTATCATTTGGAACCATATCTGATCATTATTTGTTGTCATAAATGTTCTTATTAGGCTTGAATTAATGTAATCGGGGCAAGTTGTAAACCGGTAAATTGGTCGTTTAAAGGCAAATTGGATGGTTCCACCCACCCAATTGGACTCCCGGAGAGTATTAGGGACCATGGTAAATAATTCGTTAATTTTTATATCCGGGTGAAAAAAAGTCAAAAAATTCGAAAACTGAAGGCTAATTATCCACGCTTTTTGAGAAATTTCGAATGTTTCAAGGTCCGGTGTCGAAAAGCATTGAGATTTTAGGGGATACATCTCGGGGTCATATAATGCCATTTGGAATCATATATGATCATTATATGTTGTCATAAATGTTCGTGGTAGGCTTGAGTTAATGAAATTGGTGCAAGTTGTAAACCGGTAAATTGGTCGTTTAAAGGCAAATTGGATGGTTCTACTTAGCCAATTGGACTCCTGAAGGGTATAAGGGACCATGGTAAACATTTCAACAATTTTTATTTCCAAGTGAAAAAAAGTCAAAATTTTCCAAAATTAAAGGCTAATATCCACGCTTTTTGAGAAATTTTGGAGGCTTCGACATCACTAGTTTCAGACTTCGGTGCTAACGGGTTGATAATCAAAATTCGTCTACTTCAATACTTTAAGTAAACATACATCAAAAAAAAGTTAGTTAAAGTAAAATATAGTCTTATTATCAAAGAATCTAAGATTAAAAAAAATATAATAATAAGAGGGGAAAAAAATTGTCTACTGAAGTTTGTAAATGTAGTCTACACCGTGACGCTTGAATAAATTTGCTTACGAAAAATTAGCATAAGCAGTATGTCTTTAGACTCAGATCTGATTAGTAAACTCCTTTAAGTCCTTTAATATTTAGTCTACACTTTACAGTATACACCAAGATGCCTGAACAAATTTGTTTACAAAAAACTGCATAGAACGTAAGAAGTATTTCTTCAGACTTCGAGCTGATAACCTTTTCAATGGTGAATACTGAATAGGTGATCATAAAACGGACATTACAAAAGGAATTGAGTGTATAGAAGACCCAATTAGGTGAAGGTTGGCTGTCAAGTAACAAAACAAGCCTAGTCATGAAAAAATAAACTGAATGAATACTTATATTGATTATAATTTATACCTGCTTGGTTGTTACTTGTTACAACAAAAATTTACCATGTCAATAAAGTTTTGAAGTTGGATCCCCAGAAGAAATATTGTGTATACACTAACTCACTAATAAACATAATGACTTGGAAAATAAAATTCAAAGGAAGCTCCTCTGGAAGGACCCAGATGCAAATTTGGTAGACAAACCCTGTTTCAAATTCTCAGCATCAAGTTTTACATCCAGCCGTCCAGCTGAGAGATCTTTCTTTCGGTCCCAAGGTTTCCAGGGGTGATTGCCCACCCATTCTTCCCCATCCTGATTCTGCGTCTGTGTCTGCTTTGATTTCTTTTTTGAATGACTTTTCTGAGACTCTTCTTGATGCTTTTGTACCAAAGTCTTCGATCTTTTGGCTTTGTTATATTGGTCTACCAAAGCAGCATCAATGTCAGAGGTTTTCTTGTCTAATTCATTCGAAGCAAGTGCTGTTGCCACATTATAGGCTTCCAAGTAACTGCACAAATGACATAGTTACAAGGCATTAGGTCTCTAGGACAGCTATGAATATATTAAGGACTAATAACACAAATGTCTTAATCAATACTTTGTCTTTGCTTTCTGAGCACGATCTGAAGGGGTGTCTGTCCAAGCACTGGTATCACCGCGCCCTTCTTTAGCAATTCTACTGAAAGTTGTAGTGTGCGTAGGCATACCACCAGGCTGAAATAGATACCAAATGTCAGTCACAGAGCAAGATGCAAGAGGTAAGAATTCAGAAATTGTATGTTAAAAGTCTGTACTTATCCACTCAGTTCTCATTTAGGCTAAGAGCTACCAAAGCCACAATTTACAAGATTTGATCATTAGTGCAAAAGCAAACTAGATGTTGTAGTCTAAAAAATTTCCATAACTACACTGCAGTGCTCAGAGGCCAACAGTCCCCATAGACACAGTCAACCTTTTGTAAGCAATTAAGATATAGGTTCTTCCCTGACCACACATATTCAGCAGCAAGAGTGAAAGCGAAATAGGCTAAAAACATAATGCCTTTCTTATACTAATGAATACTCCAAGTCTCTAATGCTCTCGTAGCTATATGCCTAAGTATAATTGTATATATGCCCTTTGATTTTGGCCATAACATATTGTAATCTCGTCCAAATCATAAACAATTCCACTAACATGGATTTCCCTTTGCTGCTTATATTTTGCCAGCAAGTACGCTACATTATGCCTTCCTAATCAAAAATTAATAAAGCCTGACAGTAATTGCAAATAGTAAGAGGCCGCATAAGAGACCTTGCATTAAGTACGATGCAACATCACACAAACCCAATTGATTTTAAGAGGATTTTGGCATAGTACACATTGTTACAGATATATTATATATTACCTGCGAAATCTTATGAATGACTCATTATGAACCAAGGAAACTCCTACTAGAAATATGTACTAAAAGTCACCCTATTCAAAATATAAATCAAAACAAGCTAGACAATGAACCGAATGAAACCTATATGGTTCGGATATGGAAATATTAAGTGTACATCAAACCTATACCGACCTATTTCTATATATTTGAATATCCAACTTTTTTCAAAATAAACAAAAGAAGTCTATAATATACGAAGTATAAGCGCAGTTGATAAAAACTGAACATCTTCAAACATTATAGGAGCAGAGGCCATCTAAAGCACAAAATTCGAGGATACAGGAGGATGTCAAAAACTTATCTAATTATACCTTTCTTTCAGGAGGTAGAGACGTCATCCATTCATCTCGTTTTGGAGGAGCTTTCACTTCCAACTCTGCAAGCAACACATCATCCCCTTCCATAGCCAAACCTATCAATAAAGCAAGATCAGAGGCCGCATAAATTCTAGAAAAAAAATTAAAAAGAAAGGAGGGGGAGTGATGTGCAAGATGCACTACTTTAGTTGTCCTCTGCTTAATGCCCTATAGGAGCATCAATGGTATATCATACCGTCTTGTCTCAATAATTCATGTCTAACAAGAACTAAGTAGAATCAATGCTTTTTATAACATCAAGTTGTTCCACATATTTAAGCTCAACTGAAATATAATACAGCTCTAGAAAGCTGAAATCGAGAAAAATGCTGATATTTTATTGGCCACAAAAGAGGTATGAATTGACAAGTGAGAATATGCTTTTTCCTTTTCATTCTTTGACAAATAAAAATAGAGAATCCTTGTTTAATTATTTTGACAATTGTTTCTCACCTTGTGACTGCCTCCATAGTGCAGCTTCCCGCATTGATCGTAATTCCGCCTACAGCATCCAAACACTTCTATTATTTGATAAATCCAAAATCTGTAAATATCTACCTGGAATTAAGAGTAAAAGGCATTACCTTCATTTCTTCTTCCTCTTCTTTTTTCTTAATTTTATCATCCAATGCCTTTCTCTGCAAAAACGATATAGAAATATTGATTCAGATGGCATGTAAACAAAACACTCTCCAACAGTCAACTGTCAACTTTGATACTGGCTTAAATTGTTCGAATTCTTTAATAAATTCATTCTATCACAGCTTATTAAAAATACACATTTCACTATATGTTTCTTTGAAACAGCAGCTCAATCTTTTGGGATACCGCTTTCTAGTCTAGACATCAAAGAATATTAACAAGTTTATTGCTGTACTCTGGCTGACTCCAGATGATGTCTACAATTTGATCGAGGGGCAATTTTGTAAATAGAAAGATTGGGCTATAATAATAAAAATCAAGTAAACCTTATTACAACAGACACCCACCTTATCTGGATCTTGCAGATCTTTGAATCCCTTGTTAAGTTTAATGAATGCTTGGTTAGCTTGTGGATGAGAGCATTTGTCTGGATGCACCATAAGTGACAATTTCCAGTACCTGAAGCGATGAACAAGATATAGTATAACAGTAGCACATTAACATCAGAAACCAACCATAAAAGAATGTAAGTAATCAGAATCTAAGAACTGCATTGATCAAATACCTACAGAATTTAGAAGATTATTTACAGTCAACAGCGCCACTCTACATTTAAACGCACCCAACATAGGATAGGAAATATAGACTATATCTAGCAATAGGGTACAATGAAACACATAAGTATCTCTGAATACAGCATAGTTTAAAAAGTCCCATTCAAAGGGCTACATAACAGTATGATATACTTTTAGAAAAACAAGCATTGGTCAAGATGCAACATCGTTCGACCGGTTAAATAACGATAACAAGTATCTTGCATAGAAAGTCCATATTTTAAACACTAATTGAGTCGCATATCGAACCATAACCAAGGCTTCATCCTGACAACAGTGATTGCCAATATGTAATGTCCAAAAGACTCTTTCCAATGCCATTGGAGAGTCACAAAGATCCCAAGAAACCTCCAACAGATTTATCCAAACCCCCTACCCCAATAAATTTTTTAATCCATAGACCTAGTTCAAAGGCTATAAATCCCACCAGTAAGACTACTAGATGCTGTTTACAATGTCAATTTAAAGGGAGCATAATTATCTATGGAGTAAAACTATTTCAATATAAAAATAGAGGGGGGATAAATTGTTACAAATTCATCAAGTCATTTGCTATAGGGTATTCTCATCTCAAAATTGTCAAAACCCTTGAAGTAGATCAAATTCCAAGCCCACAATAACATGTTGCCCATCTAGGAAACGGGAATTAACTCTGGAAAACCTCAATGTATAGGCTATAATGACTATAAATTACACTTAGGATAGTCTTCTCGACTTATATTTAACAAAAAAAATTTAGGGAGAGCCTTCCTTGATTTACAGGCTATAAGTCCATTTATGCAGCAAGAACAATATCCCTCCTCACTCCTGAAAACAGCAACACACTGTATACAAAATACAAGAATCCCTCTAATTACTGCCGTGAAACCTCAATAAGACACAAAGAAAAATCCGCTAAGCTGCACGCTTACCATTTATGCTGCAGATGACACAGCGCCAAAAGGCTCAAATATACCTCCGAAAATTTACATGGGAAGCAATGAAAATTTCAAAGATAAGCTCCGTAATTCATGTCAACAGACTCAACATGTATTTTCTCCATAAACTACAAAGAAGCCTCCAATGGTAACTATAAGGTATGAAACCAATTCAAGGTCTAATACACATTGCCCAAGAAAAAAATTACAGTCATTCCATAAGTGAATAGATTCTGATTCTCTTGTCCCACTCTATGTAGCATATGTATGCCATTTATAGTGATTGATCATTGACATATAAAATGTACTTTCAACAACTGAAGTAAAATTTTACAATTAATCATGCTAGCCATATAAAACTAAAGTCAACCTTGCAGTAAGATAATATATCTGGCCAGTGATACCCACAAGTAAATTATTCTAACAGCAGTTAATAAAAATAACTTTATTAAGAGGTTATAAGAAGAATACCTCTTCTTTATATTAGCAGCAGGCATCTTGTGGTTGACTCCCACAATATCATAAGGATTATCTGACTCCACTCCCATGATTCTAGTGACCTGGGGCAATAAATTGCAAAATCATAAGTTTGATGACCGTCTACAATGCTGATACAAACGTACGCATAATTTAGACTTCTGAAAGTAATAAAGTCAATGACAATTACAGATATCTTAAAAAAAATCACAAAAAGTAAATTCAAGTGTGCAAAATGAATGCTCAAGGTATGTGAATATAGGCATCAAAGTTGTAATTATGGATTTCTCCAAATAGCATAATTGGATTGCTAACAAAATAAGGATAGCAGATAGCTATACAAAAAATTAAGAGAAACAGAGGTTGAAGTCCAGAACCTCTTCAAAACGCTCAGCTTCATTAGATGATTCAGCCTCAGTGACAAGAGCAGGAGGTGGTGGCCCAACAAATATTCCATTGTCATCTTGCTCCATCTCAGCATCCCTGTAGGAATTATTAATAAATTCAGCTGCATGGATTTATATAAAAACCAGAACTAAACAGAACCAGCAATGCAATATTAACAGCCCAACTTAATAACCCAATTTCAGTCTTAGTAGATGTCATGCAATATTTAAGGCAAAGCATTACCTAAGCTCAGCCTGAGCTTCAGTCAACTTGGCTGCTGCAGCAAGTAATTCAGCAGATGGCATCTCCGGGCCGATTACTCTACAACAGCAATCATATATCAATAAGAAAATAAAATGGAATCGTGGTGGAAATTCGGCTTAAAACAGAACCAAAAAGATTTAGCAGGAAGCATATGTAACTCACTGACATTTAGCTAAAGCAATGAGAAAACTCAAAGACTCAAAGTAAATAACCAAGAACTACAAACCTCCTTCGAGGAGCAGCACCTTCAAAATTAGGACCTATGATAACTGAAGGGACATCATCGGTACTTTTTCCAACTTCTTCATGAGGCTGAGAAGGAAGGGGGTCCTCAGTTTTCTGTTCAGCCACTCCACTTTGTGCAGTAATCACAGGTCCAACAATCTCTATAGTTGGACGAGCCCTAGACCGTAACAAGAATACTCTATCCCCTTTTTCTTTGAGATTTAAGGAAAGAAACAACTTTTTGAGATGCTTCATCAAAGGCTTTTCAGAAATTCCTTTGATGTCAACAGCTTGTCCATCATCAATCATTTGTAAGAGCTACATTAAAAAAACAAATGCTTCAGGAACAAAAACAAATAACAAATTTCAGAAAAATCAATTCTTCGAACAACCAAAGCGAGAGAATCAGAAGAAACAAATCATTCCCATCAATAAATTTTGCAAAGCTCCCACAATTTGTACCCTATGCAATAGAGCCAGTAGATTCACTATTCTTCAATCTTCAACACTTAATATACTTGTAAAATACAAATTTACTACCTCCATACAGAAATATTGGTCAAATTATACTAACACTCCAAGTTAACGAAACTGACATGAAAATTTTTCTCTATGATATCCAATTCAAGTAATAGCATCTTACAAACCATCCTTACCAAGGTATTAATCAAATTTCGAGTCAATTAAAAACAGCCTTACTGTTATTCCGTGAGTAGGATTGCATATTTTGCAGACAATAGAATCAATTGATGAAAATCTTGTACTAAATTCCTTCAATTTCAAGCAAAATCTATCAATTGTGCAAACTAAATTCTACCAGGATTATATCACTAAACTTACAATAACAACAATAAATAGTAATCAAAATGAAAAATTACCTGCTTAAGATCAGCAGCAACACCAGGAAATTCTATCAACAAATCCCTAGCAACATCTTTAGCCTGGGAAAAATCATCACCGGAAGAATCGGAATCAGAATCAGAATCAGACGCAGTATCATCAGAATCAGAAACCTTCTTTCTGGAACGAGATCGTCGCTTGCTTCTGCTATCTCTACGATGCTTCCTTTCTTCTTTTTCTTCTCTTTTTCTCTTTCGCCGGCGCTTCTCTTTCTCTCTCCTCGAACTGCGCTTCACTTCTTCTTCATCGTCGTCGTCGTCGCGGTGCCGACGCCTTCGCCGTCGGTCTGACTCGTCGGAGGAAGAGGATGAAGGAGACTGAGAATCACTATCATCTTCTGATATTTTCTTCGTCTTTTTGCTGGATTTCCCCATTTTCCTAGCTCTTACTCTCTCCTTCTCTTGGTTTTTCCCTGGTTTTTGTTCATACGAAATTTCTAAGTATTCGTACGAGTATTTTTCTTCTAATTTCAATTTCAAAATACTACGAAACCTTTTTTATTTCTACACAAATACGGAGTTCTATGTCACCCAATTTATTTTTTTTAAAGAACCCAATTTTTGATATGCTTGTTTTTTTTTTTAATGATGCCTAAATTAAATGACTTAACTAACCTTTTGAGTTTATTTTAAAAAAGAACAAAAAAAAATAACCTTTTGAATCAAATTTTTTGACAAATGTTTTGAATCAAGTTATAATTTTAACCTATCAAAAGTTTATATTTGTATTTCTAAAATTTCTAACGCATTAAAAGTTTATAATTTGTTTTGATATGTGATGTACATTAAGTGTGAAAATTTTCTTTAAAATAATAATGTACTCATTAAGTAAAGTCATCAAATAGTTAAAACACCAGATGTATAACTCACATACAGGTGCGTATAAAATTTTAGAGAAGAACAAAATCATTCACTTCCATACATAAAAAACCTATGTTCCATACATAAAAAAACCTATGTTCATTATACAAAATTAGTTTTAAAAAATGTACCAAAATTTGTATTTGTATATACATACAAAGTATCGGTTTTCAGAAAAAAAAAAAAAAGTATCGGTTTTCAATAATAAAAAATAAATAAATAAATAAAAATAGAGGGAGTTCTAAATAGTTTAATTTGTATAACCCTAATCCTAAGTGTTCAAGCAAAATGTAGAATGCCCACGCAGGGGAAAAACCACAGCAAGCACTAATGGATGGATTTTTAACACATTTACCAGGCTAATAATCTTTTAAAGATTATGAGATCATCTAAAACATAGGATGTTCTTTTAAAAGTTAAAAAACGGAAGTGAATATCACGAAAAATGACATTCCCTCCTTTACAACATTGATAAAACAAGTCCTGTTCGAAACAGAATCCTACTAACACAACGGCTCAGTAGTACAATAAAACATTTTACCCACAAAAAAAGTAGTAAAATAAAACACTAAAGTAGGGGATGGGAGTTCAACAGGAGAAACTATAAATCTAAACCTACAAGTCGCTCCCATGAAAGCCATCACTACCAAGTGCTCTAAGAAGCTGTCAATCCAAAGCGATGTCCAAGATAAAAGAGGAAAACAGGTCGACAGTGGATTCGACACTAAAAATAAGCTACTATCCTACGTATTTCCACCTACCAGAAATACACCTATTCCTTATCACCTTCAACATCGAGACTCTTCATTTTAGATTCCAGTTCATTCTCCTCTCCATGACCATCACCATCACCCTCCTCATCAGATTCTTTTTCATCTTCATCTCCACCTTCTGGATCATTCTCTTCTAATGACCCTAACATCTTGGGAGACTTCTTGAAAATGTCATTAATTTCATCAATTCCTTCATCAGAGATATAATTCCCATCAATGTTCAGCAACTGAAAATCAGGCTTATCCACAACTACCTTAGCCAAAACTCTAGCACCAGCTCTTCTGATCGCATTTGTATTCATATCAAGTTCCTTTAACTGAGTAAGGCCTTCAAGAGCATTGCTAATTTGTATAGCTCCTTCATCTTTGAGCTCATTTTCACCCAAGTTCAGCTTCACAAGGTGCTGCTTTGATTCTAAGCATTCGGCCAGGGCAGATGCAGCAGCAGGAGTAACATCATTTCCAGCCAGCTCCAACACTTCAAGCAAAGGAGCACTCTTCTTGAGCGCATTTGCTATGGCAATAGTCCCCTCATCTTCCAAATTCAAGTAACTCAGGTAAACTTCAACTATATTTTCGTGCTTCACAAGAGCTTTACTCAGAGCAACACCTGCTTCTACACCAAACATGTTGTCACGCAAGTCAAGCTTCTTCAAATGAGCACATCCCTCTAAGGCTTCGGATAAGGCAACCCCTCCATCAGAACCTACCCTTGTTGACGAACACCTAAAGTCCTCCAGCAAGGGAGAACGCTTTACAACCTCAGAAATGGCATGAGCACCTTCATCTCCTGTCATATTATTGTGAAACTGAAGAATCCTGAGCTTCTCTGTGGAGGGAACCAACTCAGCAACAGCACGTGCTGCATCCTCTGAGATGCCATCATTCATTAAATAAAGCTCCTCCAAGCTACTCTGCGATTTCAGGAGTACTCCAAATGCTCGAACACCCTTCTCACCCAAGGCATTATTAGAAAGATTAAGAGACTTCAAAGCAGCGCCTTCAAGGGCAGCTGAGAATATGTTCATGACTTCAATGGCTTCTGCCTCCGGTCTGCCAGCAATAAAATCTGACAGATCTACCTCCTTTAATTTATCCTTAACAGATGACAAAATAGGCTCTGCTACACGAGCTGCACCTAAACCAAAACTTCTGTTACTGAAGCATATCTTAGTGTAAGTGTTTGATGGATTCTTTAGTGGTGCCAAAAGCTCTTCTGCCTCTTCAGCCTCAATGAAGGCACGTGGGCCTTTTGATATATCAAATAAACTTTCAAGGACAGCATCAGAAGTCGGTACCTCTCTAGATTTAATTACAGGACCACGTTTTAAGGCTTCTAGAATAAGTTTACTACATTCCTTGGCATAAAGCTGGACTGCAGAGCTTCCATCACCATCGGGCTCCTTTTCATAGAATTGATTTGCAGCAGTAAATGCCACCTCTTCAATTTGCTTAGCATTCTCCTCAGCCTCTTCCTTGGTCAAACTACCGTACTTCTGGGTAAAAATTGTTGGAGTTGAAAGATTGCTGGTCATCCGTTCAACAAGCATAATTCTTGTGTTCTGGCTAGGAGGCCACAATTTGATCGAGAATGGACGACGCTCAGAATTTGTTTGCATAGCTTCCATTATAAAACCTATTCATTTAAAACATCCAAAACTCAAAAAACATTTCAAGGAAGAAAATGCAAAACAAATCATCCACGTGACTAAAGAGAAGAATGCTAATCTTATTTCAACCAGCACAAGGACATTCTTCATGAAAACCAACTTATAGGCTTCTCAGCCTTCAGTATAGTAAAAATTGTTATAGCCTTGTTAACTAATACTTCTCATGTAAAAACAAGAAAGATGATCCTTCCTTAGTTTATGAAACTTATACTGTACCCAACATACATACACTGCAAATTAAATATATACGCTGCTTCGCATTAGACTATTACGAGTAGTTTCTAATAGTTATGGAAAACGACTGATCAATTGATAATCATATAAATTCCATCATTTGATTAAAAACCTTAGATTGACATTCCAATATAAACTAACCAACTTCTGCCTCTGTTTAAAACCTTTCCATTATCCCACCTCACTTCAAACTACCTCCTCTCATTTGATAGGCAACCTAGAAAGTATCACTCGACCAACTCTCTTAAAACATTCTTCTCCTCACAATTCAACTTGGGACATAACAGTACTTCGGATACAACAGTACCGCTTCACTGCTACATCCAAGGATTATACATACAAATTAAGAGACCCTATACTTGTTTTAATTTTAAGGGGCCTTCCGCCCTTCCCTAACAACCAATTCATTCATAATAAACTTGTTCGAGTCCTTAAACAACTCACATTCTAACATTTCCAATCAAAAGATATGCAGGTTGTAAACATATACTTGTAACATAATTGCAAGTCATGATCGCCATTATTCAATATCGGTTCAACTAACATTAGTTTACACTTTAGTTAAATAATTAAATTTTTTTAAAAAAAATGTTAAATGAACAACCTTAATCAAACCCCAAATAGATAAAAATTAATACTTTATCTAGGATCCAAGAAAATTCTTTAACTTTATATCATATCAATTAACATTAACACTGATTCCATAGATATAAAACTGATTTGGTGCTGATTTACTTAAAATTAACCTAACATTTCAACAAATCAGTAAACGCTATACAATTTCTTCATAAATTAAACAAACAAAAAACAACAATTAAAACAGGCGAATCTAAACCCCAGAAAAAAAAGGGATTAACTTTTACCATAACAATTCAAATAATTAGGGTTAGATAGTTTACCCTAACAATATCAACAAGCAAACCAAATCATCCCCAGTAACAATTAGCACAATAAATTCCCATGAATCGAGAAAATGGAAACTTTATCATCAAAATGCAGAATTCAAATTTCAAATTCTCGAAAAAAAAAAAAAACCAAATCGGAGAAAGAAGAACAAAAAAAGCATACCTGAAAAATGGAGATCAAAGAATCAACCCAGAAAAAACACGAAGTGAAGAAGAAATTGAGAAGGAAGTGATGAAGAGGGAGTGTAAATAAGAGTGAGAAAATGGAGAGAGAGAAAATGTAGATCGAAAGAGAAGAAGAGGGGCGGAAGAGAAGGTTTATAGTCCGTAGTAGGGATTGGATGGGGACTTTGGTGGGGCCTTTAATATTTCGGGTTGGAAATTGAAATTCTTATTTTTTTAATTTGAAATTTAAATTTTACAAAATGCATTGTGTGTGAGTAGGGCTGGCAAAAACTGACCCGACCCGAACCCGATCCGAAAAAAGCGAGTTAGGGTTGAGGTTTCCGACCCGAAAACTTAAATGGGTCGACACAAACCCGAACCCAAAATTAAATGGGTTAGGTTAAGGTTGAAAATCTCAACCCGAAAACGACCCACTTAACCCGAAATAAATTTCAGGTCAAAATCAGGTCGGGTAACCCGAACCCGACCTGATAACCCGAACTAATTTAAGTAAGAAAAAGAAAAAAAACTTAAAAAGCTTATTAAGCCCAGCCCAAATTCACAAAGAGGCTTCCATATATAAATTCAATACCCTAAATGAACTCATTTCCCCTCATTGATCTTCAGCCGTTTTTCCCCTCACTTCTCTCTCTTTAATTTTCTCTCTCCTCAAAAACTCATTGTTGAATTCGACAGAGGTAGTTCCGTTAAGCCCAACTTTACCATTGTCATTTCCTTGACGGCTTGAATCCTTCACTCCTCCACGAATTCCTCTCCTTCATCAAAGGTATCTTGCTTCTTAATTTATTTTCCGTTTTTTTTTCGTGTTTTTTATATGCTAGTTTTGTTTATTTTCTAATTCTTCTGTTGTTAATTTTATATTTACTTGCTTCCGTTTATTTTAGTTTTTTACATGCTAATTTTCGAGTGTTATTACTAAATTCTGATGTTAAATGTTGTTGATTATGTTATTATACGGTTGTTTTTGCTAATTTTTTATTGTTAATGCTAATTTTTATTGTTAAATGTTATCTATGTTATGGTGATTCTTGCTAATATTTGTTGTTTACTTTTGTTTATCATGAGCATGCATGTTTTAATTTAGATCTTACTAGTTAGATCTAGATAATATAGTCTGATTTAGAATTGCATGTTTTAATTATGTTAGTGTTGTTTTTCTTTATAGGTTTGGCAGCAAGAAGTAGCCCACCCATGTTCAATTGGAAATGTTGTGGATCAATTTTGAAGCTTGAGGTGGTGAACAAGGATGACAGCCATGACAAATTGACAGTCCCAACATCGCCCGATCTTAATCCAAATGAAAATCTTATTGCATCTTCTATTATTTTTTGAAAACTGTAATTTGTGTTATTAAAACTTTATCTTTGGTTTGTAATTAGTGAATTATAATTTTTATTGGTTTATTATCGTTAAGTAGGATTGTTACTTTGTTAGACTAAGCTATTTAATTTTGGTTTGAATTAAAATGCTTAACCTGAACAACTTGTATTTGAAATGAAAAAAAAGTTATTCAGGTCAATTTTGGGTTAACCCAAACCTGAATATATCAGGTTTGGGTCGGGTTAATTTCAGGTCAAAGAAACCTGATTTTAACCCAAATAAAAAATCAGGTCAAATAAGGTCAATTTCGGGTTGACCCGAACCTGAAAATATCAGGTTCAGGTTAGGGTTTTCAACCCGAAAAATTAAATGGATCAGGTTCGGGTTGGGGGTAGCTGACCCGAAATTTAGGTGACCCGAACACGAACCCGACCCGGCCTGATCCATTTGCCAGCCCTATGTGTGAGTGTCGCTCAAATCATCGCGCCCATTAGCTCTTTCCTGCATTTCTTTCTTTTTTTTTTAAAGAAAAAAACCACTTTTTTTCCAGTATAATTATTGCGTCCACTCAAATCCTTCCGACCTTAGTTAGCGAGCTAGGTGCTTTGAAAGTGAGGGAAGGATAAGGGAATTCTTACCCCAAAATATTTTTATTGAGGTTTGATCCCACAATCTCATGGTTGGAAGATGCAAACCACTTAAACCTGATTTATTGTACTAAAAGTATTGGTTGAAACGGGTTCACTTAAATATCCACCCTATTCAATTTTAATTGTACCATATTATTTTGAAATGGTGGGAATAATTATGTGTCTCTAGTGTCCATATACCCTAACGGGTTTTCAAAAAAAAAAAAAAACTTATTTAGTGTCCATATGACTTTACGATAAGTTTTTATTTTTCTACAATAATAACTACGGAGTATGTTTTTGTAGGTTGTGAAAGAAGCCAATGTGAAATATACTCTATGGTTGTATGCCCTTAGGGCCTGTTTTCATTGACTGAACTTAGCTGAACTGAACTGAACTAAACTGGACTAAACTGAACTGAACTAAACTGGACTGAATATTTTATAAGAGAAGGAAATTAGGAGCTGAACTGAACTGGACTGAACTGAATATTTTATAAGAGAAGGAAATTAGGAGCTGAACTGAACTGAACTGAACTGAACTGAATTGAGCTGAACTGAACTAAATTGCAACGTAAGAGAACAGACCCTTAGATTTGGAAGTGTTCAAATTAAGGGAAGAAAATGAATAATTTTTTAGGGTCTAGTTGAAGTTGTTTCAAGCTATGTTTTATGCATGGAGTATTCAGTTTATTTAAGCAAATATTTGTCTCTCTTGTAAATGATAGATTAAAGAGATTATCTTTCTATTTGCAATACTTAATTCTGTATTGTAAATCTTTAATTTTGTAATTAGTAATCATATAATCAAGAAAATAAAAATAAAAATCCGTTTTTGTATGTGTACATTAATATAAATTTAATGAAATATTAGTTTGATAACTTATTATCTTGAGGAATTATGTTCAAATCAAAGCATATCAAAAAAATGGAAATCAAGTCTCAATACGTTTTATGATAACTAGACACATGAATTTATAACTAGTCTTACCAATAAAAGACCAGTTATAATTAAACACAACATAAATCTATTACATAATAAGTAATCCGTACTTAGGGTCTGTTCTGATTGACTGAAATAAGCTGAATTGAACTGAATATTTTATAAGAGGAGGAAATTAAGAGCTGGACTATTAGAGCTAAATTAAACTGAAAATAATCTAATTAATTTAATTTAAACAAATAATACATTTGTATCAATTTCCTTTAACAACATTAGTCACAAACCACATAGCAAGTCACATAAATTGTTTTTTTTTTTTGACAAGAAGTCACCTAAAACTAAATAATTATTTTCTTTACAAATTTACGTTTACTTTTATGTTATTCAGTTTGACAATAATTGAATACTCGTAAGTATAAATTTGTGGTGAGTATGATTCTTATGAAAGAGAGTACAATAATGGATGGACCATATTGGTGCAACGAACGGACATATGTCGTGGAGGTTGCACCCATGGATGCCAACGTAACCAAGCTGCCAAAATGCATGGTACGTACAATAACAGGGTTTATCACTTTATCTTTTCATTTTTAATTATGTACTTGCAAAATATTTTCTTAATTTCATTTTTTTATTTATTTTTTTTTTATGGAGGGGAATACATGCATGATTGCATGAAGACATAGTTTTGTACGTTTGTAGACACTTGGTGATACATCTTTCCCTTCTTAATTAATACGGAATACCAATTACCAAACCATAATTAAGTTGGAGATCAACCATAATTAGTGTGACTTGGAATGTGCTTATATTGATCATTCAACTTAAAATAACCGTCAAAAAAAAAAACTTAAAATAATATATATGCCCGAAAAATACAGATGAATGAACAACCTAAGTCTTTATTCTACAGTAGTACTAAATTAGTAACTTGATATTAAAAGCAAACCTTAGCTTCAAACCAATCCAGTAACAATTAACATGGCAATCAATGATTTTTTTATTACTTATGTAATCAAAATTACGAGTATATAAATAATATGCTCATAATTACTCCGTACATTTTAAAATTAGTACGCCGTGTTAATGCACAATACGGTAATATTAACCTAATCTTATTTTATAATTTTATGAAGTCGGGATGTATAGATTTATGCCGAAAAACGACACGCATGCGCAGCCTGGTGAGATCGTATAGAAACAACACATAAGTGTATAACAGAAGTTTCCACAGGGAGTGACGAGTCCATTGAGGTTTATTTTGTTATCTTATGCAAATATCATTATTTTATTTATTTATTATTTATTATGTGTCACAAGTTCACAACCTTGTTATTCTTCCAAGCACAATAACAAAAAACAATAATTATATAATGTTAAAACGTTATAAAGTATCATTGTTTATGAGGCTCAAGGGCTATATATAATACCTTAACCTCCTTGTTCTTATATTCTTGTTCTTAGCTACTACTCTATACCTTTATCATTTTATTATCCCTTTATTTTTACGACCATATAATAAATTATGAAGCTTCTTGGTTTTTTAATCTTCTCCATCTTCATCCTACAGGTATAAATTATAACTTTTGTACCTCTGAATATATTCATTATTTAATTTATTTTATTGCATTAGAATAGATATGTTACAAATCTTACAATAGTTATTTTATAATTAATCTTGCACTTAATTATGACTTAATGCTAGCAAATTTCCTCATAATTAATTAATCTTAATAGGACTTTAGTGAGGCCTTATCTGCAGCCAACATCACAGGAAATTCCATCACCAAGGTTAGCTAATTACATTATTTTATTTTGCATAAAAAAATAAATTAATTAATTTCTTATTTAATTACTCACTTTTGTTGACCTTGGAATAATCTTTATTATTACATGCAGGAAGAAATTAATGCAGGATTTCAAAAGAAATATTTTGTGAGAAATATGAGTAAGTCTTTAGTTTAAGTGCACTTAATAATGGCTCATCATTTAGTTGGCTTTAATAAACCAATTTCAATAATGAAAACGAATGAATATCTATTGTAAACACTATATATATGTTCTTGTTAAACGTTATCAATCGATAATAATAAGCCAATAATAAGCCAACATGAGAAATGTTTGGCATTGTCTCTTATTACTAATAATTGAGTATAATTTGGATGGAAATTACGTAGATTGCAACCATGCTTGTGCGATGAGATGCACAAGGTCATCAAGGAAGAATTTGTGCAATAGGGCATGCAACAGTTGCTGTTTTCAGTGCAAATGTGTTCCTCCTGGTACTCATGGTAATCACCACCTCTGCCCTTGCTACGCCCGCCTCAGGACCCATGGCAACAGGCCTAAATGCCCTTAATTTTAACTTAATACTACATAAATCATATATGATTTAGCTAGTGTTATCGTTAATTTAGCCATTGAGGCTAATTAAAGAATCAATAATGTATTGTACTATTTGTATACTACAAGTATTATCGTTTTGGTGTTAGAATAATGTGTTGGATCTATGTAGTTATTATATTTACTGAGCTGAATTGTAGCTAGGTATTAGAAATAATGTGTTGGATCTATATAGTTAAAGTATATTTACTGAGCTAAATTGTATAATTAGCTTGTCCTTGTTTATGTTTTACATCAGTCATAGCTTAGTTTTTTTTTTTTTTTTTTTTTTTTTTTTTTTTTTTTGTTACTGGTAGTACAACTAGTATGTTCCCAAAATATGATATTTGGGGGTTATAATGCTAGCTATAATAACAACCAACATTAAAACCAAGATAATTTAATTATTGTTCAGGTCATTTTATATTGAATTGAAATTAAAATTACTGCGATAAGTAATACTCTATATGGCGAAATAATGATGGTAAAATAAAAGCCGAGATAAATTGAACCACATTGATTGTTTGTTCCAAAGTAACACCACATCAGGCCATCAGCAATGTTACTAATAAAGCCGTTTTTTTTTCTTTGGAGGGGGGGGGGGGGGGGGGGGTATTCTCCGATTCTGATGTCTGGGCAAGAAGTAAAATAAAAGTGGAGATTAAATTTAGAAATAATATAACCCCTAATTCTCAGTTCATCATCTCTCAAATGCAACTTACAACACACATGCACTAATAAAAGATTAAATGTGACAAAATCTACCACAAAAATATGAAGTGTGAAGCTCAAAATAATTGATGATGAATGCATTGTGTTTAGTTGTGGACAAATGTTAACAAGCAAAGTCCTTAGAAGATTCAAGGGCACTTCTTGCGGCCTCCTTTGGTGGTCATATTAGCCCAGCAAGGACAAGAGTTAGCGTTGCCAGACGTTCCTGGTGGCACGCAATTGCAACGTTGGCAGCAAGTGTTACATGCTCTTAGGCATATTCTGTATCTTGATGCCACACTGCACCTTGTATGACACCTTTCCTTGCAATCTGTCATGTCATTGTAGATAGAGTCAACATCATATCATCTCATCGTAAAAAGTGATACATACGTACGTACAAAATTAATACAATATACATTAAGACTCAGACTCATGTTGGAATTTCAATGGTTGTGCTCGCACCTTCTGATCAATCATATTAAGTTAGAAGTTCAATTTTCATATCAACTTGGTCTAGCTCTAGGCTTTAATAGTTGATTAACCATAACATAGTTGAGTATTCCCCATTATTGATTGTTACACATATTTCGTGTCTATTAGGATTTTCTTTATTGAATTAAAACTCTTGAATTTTTTTCACTTGCCTATTTTTGCACCCAAAAAGATGCGATGTTGAAGATGATGACGACGGTGGTGGTGGTGGTGGTGGTGGTGGTGGTGGTGGTGGTGATGGTGATGAAGCTTTGCATTGCAGACTTCCCACTATAGTTACAAGTTAAAAGAAAAAAATTATGTTAGTTGGAGAAATTGAATGATAATGAAAGTTAAAGTGACAAGTAGAAATAAGAAAACTTTTCCCTTTTTTTTTTTTTTCCTAGGACATAATAAGTAGAGGTATATATGTAATATATGAACCTGTATTTTGTACAATTAATTGTTCACAACCTAATTGAGTAATACTCCAATACATCGTAGTTTTCATATTAAAATGGTTCTCATAATTTTTGAACACGAATACACCATCTAATTAACCCGCGTGTGTATGTAATGTAATTTGTGTACAAGTAAGGAGAAAAAATGGCAATGGCAAGGCAAAATATTAACATAATTACATTAGAAAAATGAAAAACGTACGTACCTCATGTGAGAGGACAAGGCAAAAGATGGCAATGACAAGGAGAAGAATTCTATTGAAGCTTAGCATATTTGTGATGAATTACAATACGTTGTAATCCTTCGAGAAGAGCCAAAAATTAAGAAATAGAGACGTTTATGTGTTTATGTAAAAGATAAGGCTCTTCTAAATTTGAGAGAGGGGGTATAGGGGATGTTAATGCTAATTTTTGCCAGCGAAGAGGGTCAAAAAATCCCTTCATTATAAGGTAAATAATGGTTGGAATCTTAATTTTGGAGGCTATTCTTTTATATCTTTGTCCTGTTTTTTTGGGATGATTATTATTCTCTAATTACTTTTTTCATTTCTGATTTTTGAGGTTAGAAATTGATTTTGTTGCTGTTTATATATTTTGACTCTACTTTTAGGATGTGATCTTGCTTTTTTATTTTTTCATTTATTATGTATTTTTGACATGAAAATCAAAATAAAGACGTTGACAATAGTTAATAGATAATACAAAGAACTGTAACAGGCTTCCATATTCATGACTGACCTTTATATCTCAACTGATTCAAGAACGGAGCCATATTTAGTCATTAAAATCAGCTGTAATTCTCATTAATGTGAGTGAAAATCGATTACGAGTACTCTGTATTATTATGTATTAGCTCGAGGGTTAATGTGATGACTGATGAGGTTGCATAGTACCAAGGTGCCCCCTTAATTAGTTTGTCGATATGTAAACATGTGCTCGTATAAGCAATTAAGCACCTTCTATTAGAGCAAGTTTAGCCCTAAAGTCTTAAGACTTGGATGTGACATCATTTTGGTGGTCCATCATCAAATTCTTGTTTTAAGACTCACTAAGACTTATTCAAATTTATCACTTTAACCCTAAGACTTAAATATTTTACATATTATATGAAGAAAAGTGTAAAAAAAAGGATAATAAAATAAAAGTGAGTGGGGTGAAGTGGGTCCCAATCTCAAGTCTTAAGTTGAGTCTTGAAATTTAAAGACTCAACTTAAGACTTGCTTGAGATTTTTGAAGAAAAATGGGAAAAGTCTTAAATATAAATCTTAAGACTCAAAATGATGATGTCACCCCAAGTCTTAAGACTTGGGGCTAAACTTGCTCTTACCAAAAAATACAGATAAATGTGTGTACATATACTTCGTATTGAATAAATTGGTACAAAAAATAAGTTCATCTAAAATCTAGCCCAGCAACGAGTGCATTGAGCAATACAATCTCCTTTACAGTCAACATTATAACCAAGAGCTTTAGGGTTACGAAGAAGAAGATTTCGCAAAGGCTTCCCTGTTATGCCCCACTGGTTTTCTAGGATCTGTACATTGTTCTTCAGCTCAGTCTCAAGATTGCAACCAAGAACTTCAGGGAATTTTTTCAGAAGCTTAGAAAGATCATCATCAGAGAGGCTCAAACTTCTGAGATACTCCAGTATTTCATTCACTAATTCATAATTTGGAACTTCTACTTTCCGTTCTTCACCCCAGTAGGGTGAATGGATATGACCAAATGCTTTCCCTAGCATCTTGTCCTGCTCTTCAATACTGAAGTTGAACACAGACAGAGCTTCTCTGCAAGATGCCCATTTTTCGGTATCTTCATTGCTCAAGGTTATATCTATTGTTGGAGCTGCAGAATATAGTTCCCATCTCTTGTGTGTTAGGACATTATTCCTAGAATTCCGGATTAGTTCTTGTGGTAAAAAGCTCCATGAGGTTCCATATAATGTTGAGTTTAAGGAAGCAAAATTAGGCTGGAGCAAGAAAAAGGTGAATTAGAACTAAAGCATGGTTTTGGGGAGGGGCTATTTTAAGGGAAAGACCTATTCATTTCTTATTCTTATCAGCAAAGTCTAACCACAATGATTATGCAATGAAAGTTTAACTCGTTCTGAAAATATGAAATGCATACATTTTGATAACATTTTGCGAATCAGGCAGAAGAGTTAGCAGACGAGATCAGTCTAGGTAAGCAAGGGTAAATGAGCTTACACTTACATTCCCTCCCCATAAGAGTTGAATTGATGGGAATCCAAATTTATATACTATAGACAGCAAAAAAGAAACCAGATGCACAATAACATATTGGCAAACAAGGTCTAGAGGTGAACTTACAGAAGACAAGTGTATGGATGATCCACGATATAACGCCAACGCTGGTGAAGGCAGAGAATTCGCCAGCATCCCTGCACTAGAAAGTATTCCAATCGAGGCATGTTAAAAACCGACGAATACTACTCAGTAAGACACAGGAGTACAGGACAGTAACAAACAGCTCAATAAGGTCCTTAACAGCTTCATATTAACATAGAATCATTAATTACAACTTTACAAATTCCTAAACAAACTCTATATAAAGAAGACAACAAAAGGGAACCAACAATTGCTAAGGGCATTGATAGAGAATATCCATAGAATATTCTCATCCTAGGTTTAGGATATATTTTGTATAAGATTATCTTTGATATATGAACATATCTTATAGTTACCTAATATGATTAGGTTTCTCATTGTAACCCTATAAATATTGATCAATGGAAATCACTCTAATCAAGGAGTTTATATTATCTGACATGGTATCACAGCTTAGGTTAGATCTTGGGATTATATACAAAAGTTCTCACCCTGCCGGTGGGTTAGAAAATTAAACCCACCGGCGGGATATACAAAGTTTTTTATGCTTCCGCAAACACACATATAGATCTTTTTTTCCTTTTCTCAAAGTTTTTTTTTTTTTTTAGAATCTTTATGTAACCTTGCGCCTCCTACCAACAGCAGCAATCGTGAAAGCCGCCTCCATCGTTGTTGGCAATCGCATACACTACTGCCTCCCCCTACTGGCAGTAACCACATCTGCCAACCTACTCCATGTGCCGCACTCTATTTCCACCTCCCCATGACCAACAATGATTCTTACATTGCCTCATTGTTTTTTTTTTTTACACATAATCACATAGATTTTGTTTTGGTGGTAATATATCCTAAACCTAGGATGAGAATATTGTATGGATATTCTCTATCAGGCATCACCCAAAAATTCGATTTCTCAACAAAATTGTCAGCAGTAAGATATGAAGATTAAGGGGTAGATTAACAAAACCTCATCAAATAATTTCACTACTTTGATTTGATCCATAATCTTTCCAAATCAATAAAGAAGCACATTATGATTTAACCACCAAATTTGGATCCACCTTGTTCAATTCACATAATTTGCTACCAGAAATGTTAACGATTATACTCTAATGCTTTTAAACTAATTGATGATGTACTTATGTCGTCTATATTCAGTTGTCACAGTACTAGCTCAAGTTACAATACCAATCTCAAAATTAATTTCAGATGGAGGAAGTAGCGAATCATTTGACACTAATTGAGACTAGTTCTTCTATAATTACAATACTTCATTGATGTAAAATGGCAATTAATGTCCTTATAATTGTGAAAATATCATATCAACAATCCAAAGTTAGAAACTTTAACACTAATCATAAATCAAAGTAACACTAAACTAACAAGATAATCACAGCAATTGAAATTAATCATCCCACCCAAAAAAATTAAAAATATCGCAAATTACAGTAAGTGTTAAAATAATCCAGAGTTCAGATCCTCACATATAAGAAAACAAGAAAAAGGGTAAAAATCCCAGAAAAAAAGAGAGAAAATCTGATGAAAAAATAAAGGTAGGAAGACAAAAATACCTGGAAAATTGCAGAGATAAAGGGCTGAAAATGAAGCAGTATAGTCAGTTTTTGGTTTCTCTTCGCAAACACGAGAGAGGAGAGCAAAAAAAAATGAAACAAGGCTAATTGGGGCCCACAATAACACGTAATGGTCCTTAAGTGCTGTTTAAAAGCCATCCACTCATTATATTTTTTTATGAAATGCTAAAGATGTTTGGAGTAAATGTACAATTTTAGCCCATGTTTTTTTACGCCTATTATATTGGGCTTTTGTATTGTTTTAATGAATCCCTTTTGCAATTATCAGACCACATACAATGGGCTCACAAATGCATTTATCATTTTGGAAATGTTTTTTAAATTTTACATCTAATTAATTCATAACTTTAAATATTTTTAGAAATTGATGTATAAGATATATTTATAAAATGACATATTAATAATATGTGTGAGACAAATGGAATTTTTTTTTATAATTTAAGAGAAAGTTACTTCTAGATCATGAAAAATAATCAAACTAATTAATATGTATATGTAGTGTAAAATTGGAAGCAAAAAAAATAATAATGCAATTAAAAAAAATAAACAGAAGAAGCAAATGAAGTATGTAAGTACTAATTCCTATGTGTTGAACAGAAAATTTGGTTACCTTAAAACGTGTTTGCTTTAAACTTTAAAGTGTTTTATATTTCTATTACAAGTATATAAATTTTTGTACATAACAATCTAATACTTAATTGAAAGTGACTATTATAAACATCTAGATTCAAAATTACATTATTTATCGACAAATGAGTGAATTACTAATTGTGTTAGTGAGTAGGTCGTTTCGTGATATTACTTTATTCTCAAATTACTAATATATATCAATAGGTATAACATACAATTCAAGAGGTTATTATTTTCACATTTTAACAACTTTATTAATAATTACTTTAAGTGTCAATTCTTTCACTAAATCACTAATCAAGTGGTAAAATCTTCCAAATTATGTATCTCTATCTTCTTAATATTTGATTAGTTAACTTACATTACACTGTGTTGACTTGAGCATTGAAAGAGTTTGCTCTACCACACCACTACATATTGTTTTGGAACATCAAGTCTTTGCCTACGTAATTTCAACATCATCAAAGATAACTTAGAACTCAAGATAATTTGCCAAATACAAGAAAAATGCATTATATAGTTGTTAATAAATTTAACAAAAAATTCTGAGAACAACCAAACAAACTAAAAGTGTATTAGAAAGAATAAGTCAAGAGAAGCAATGTGTATTAATCCACGCTATCAAAGAGAATAAAAGATGATATAATACTTCGTATAACATTTGTTTTGTCAAAATTCTCAAAGGAACCATAAATAATTGTATAATTAAATTACTATGATTAAATTACTAATTTACTATGATTAACGTGACAAGGAATACGCAAGCAAAATTAGAGAATAATTACATGAAACTAATTATGCTGATGGTGCAATAATATGACACATTATTGACAGGTTCACGGTGCAGTTGATTGGTTTAATTTGGCTTCTAGTAAATGCATAATTGCACATGTACTGATTTTCTGAAACCACTATTTTTATTATTATGATGCACCAAATTAGTAATCAACAGTAAACTAAAGTTTCCTTTTGCAATTCTTGTGCCCAACAAGACTTTTAACAATGTTCACTATATATAGTATGATGTATGCCTATATCCAAGATAAGTTCTTTAATTTATTCTTACTTGGTTCGATTTCAAATTGATGTAGCTTAACTTGATCCGTTGAATATATATAGATCACAGACTTTATACATGGATTGTGTAAGCTATATGATTACATACATTTCACTTTTTTATTTTTTAGTAAGATGACAAAAAAAAAAAAAGAGTCACAAAAGACAATA